AGTGGAATTGGAATGCTAGGTTAAAATCCCGTCTAAGTCTAGTGCGTTCACTTTCGCAATAATGTCATTGAGTAGAGCAAGAATCCATATCTTCTTACTCTAGCTATGGGTTAACTTGAAAGATAGGCTAGCCTCTCTTGACTTGCGTGGTAGTCATTCAACTCTGAATTAAAAACCATGGAAAAGTTAATGGCAGATAACTCTACTCTCTCTTCCAAAGCCAAGATAATTGCCAGATAATCAAGAAAAGCAATGTGCAGTAATAGGAGTAAAGGTATGTGGGATTAAAATGGATATGGCATTCGAAAAAAAAGTTTTGCACATTGGAAACTATTGTATAATGAGAATAGAACCTCGTCCCAGAGTTCCAGATTAAAACTTACCAAAATAAAAGAATTAACTTATTCCTTTATGCCATTTGACATTATTCATGTCGAGAAGAACGGTTCTAAACCGAAATTTACCAATTCTCATAAATATTTTTTTAAATGCCACATAGCCACCGATATGTAACTTTGGAAAATATTTATATAGTATTAGTTTATTGGGAAATAAGATGTTCCTTTTGTCACCTTTAAAAACTGTCATTAGATCCCTGTTCCCTTACTTCTCATAAATAAATTAGCAACTACTATTATAGGATCTGGAACGTGTGAATAGTAAAACAGTTATCGACACGGAGAGAAGAATCGACTAGCCGAGTTCAAATCCTAAGCGCATCTGATACGTTCACCTCGCACAAATGCTCTTGGAAAAAGGGAATCTGTCATTTCTTCATCTCCAAAGCTCTGAGTTAAATAGAAGAGTAAACTGTGCTCTTTAGCCTTGCCTGGCACACAGTGTAAGAGAGGTAAAATCTGGATTCCTAACTGTACTGAATGAAACGGAAAATCACACTACTATCAAAGCAATTTAAATATAATAAAAGAAAGTAAGCTATGGAGGACAATAATCCCTTAACGGCTGAAGGTAAATGACATTTAAGAATATTATAGTTATTTAATAATATAATACTCGAATTCCGTGTAGGTTAATAAATACTTCAATATATAATAATAATAATAATAATAAACGATGGCAAGATAAGTCTCTTCGTAGTCAATATTCTGCTTGTAGCAAACAAGATGATATAGACAAACCCCTTACCCATCATTGGTTAATTAGGTGGAGGGGTTAAAAGCTGAAAACGAAGGTCTTATTCTTGCTGAATCGATTAATGCTAATTAGAAATTACCAAGCACACATTCTGAAAAATTGAGTTGACCCTAAATTTCAGATTCTGTGATAAATATCCAGAAAAAAAACTGAGCATCTTGTATCAGGTTGCACGGTGTTAGCACCCACTGAATATAAAACTCGGCATGACAGAGTGGGTCAATATCTGCACTGGAAAATATATCATCTTTACGGGAAGGAAACTGCAAGAAACTGGTATGAACATCATCCAGACCCAGTTAGAGAGATTAGGACCTGTAACAATTTTTGGGGACTTTACAATACACACAGAAACAATCAAAGCTAATCGCCCAGACAAGGTGTTCAGATACCACAAAAACAGAATATGTTTTCTTATTGACACGGGAGTCCCTGCAGATTGTGATGTATCTTTGAAGATCTTCAAAAAACTATCAAAATACAGGGATCTTGAAGTAGAAATCTCAAAACTGTAACACATGAGGACATCAATAACTCCAGTTGTAGTTGGAGCACTCGGATTGATTGGAAAAGGATTTGAAAGTCTCATTGAAAAGATTCATAATAGTCCCTACCTTAAAGAAATACAAAAGATTGTTCTCACAAGTACAACTCACACATTACGAAAGTCTTTCTCTACGTAAATGTGTGTGATCATTTTTTTTTTATATAAAAATGATCAGTCATGAAGGCATTTCTGACCTGAAGTCGCTGGTTATGACCCGGAGGGAAATGTGTATGAAGCATAAATCAAAGTAAATAATAATACAGATGGTAGCGACGGAGAGTGAGAAGAAAAGACTAAGCATAAAATACAAGACAGAATGCATAATCATCAGTAAAAGGATGAGCCCGAAATGCGATGTGAAGGTCAGGAACACTAGAATCAAGCAGACGCGGAAGTTTAAATATCTTGAAATATCTTGACGGAGGACACTGGAATCCGTAGACGTATTGGGATGGCCAAGGTCACATTCCAAAAGCTAGGCAAAGTATTGCGAAACAGGAGGATTTCTTTGGTAATAAAGAATACAATACTGAGCTGTTACGTAACATCTGTCCTTCTTTACGGCAGCGAATGTTGGGCGATCTCCTCTAAGATGAAGTAGAGACTCGAGGTGATAGAGATGTGGTTCTACAGAAGGATGCTAAGGAGATCATGGACCGAGCATGTGAGGATGCAAAGAAGGAGGAAGCTTATACTTAACATCAGGAAGGGGCAGCTGACGTTTCTGGGACATATATTGAGGAAGGAGGGCCTGGAGAATCTGATACTCACGAGTCGAATAGAGGGAAAGAGAAAACAATGCGTTACATACCTGGCAGGCTTAAGCAAGTGGATGACAGAACGTGGTCTGGAGGAATAAGCAGAGGGAAGGAACTTGAGAGCTGCAAGGGATAGAGGGAGGTGGAGAGCCATGATCGCCTACGTCCTGAAAGGACATCGCACATAAAAAAAATAATAATAATAAAATTAATAATAATAATAATAATAATAATAATAATAATAATGACTGGATGATAAAATTAGTGAAACAACATGAAAAACAGAAAGAAAAATATTCAATAATAAAAAGAAGGCAGTAAATACAAACAACATTTACATTTAGTAGATTCTGTAGTAAATCAAAACAGAAGCCAAGAACCAACTATTGCAGCAAAAGATATGAAAAAGAAAGCCAAGGATAAAGCCCTTGAACAGATGAAACAACGATTGACAAACCTCTGCATGGCCAATATCCAGAACGTGCAAATAAACCCAATGTTGATAAAGTTAATACTCATCGATGGTTACGAGCATCTGGATTAAAGTCTGAAACTGAAGGCTTTATTCTTGCAGCGCAAGACCAGAGTCTTTTTCACTAGGAATTTTCAGGCAAATATCATACATAATAATGTGGATCCAAAATGCAGGTTCTGTGACAAATACCAAGAAACAATAGACCATCTAATCTCAGGATGTTCTATACTTGATTGAATATAAAAATCGTCACGATAGAGTGGGGCAATACTTACACTGGACAATGTGCAAACACTTTGGAAAATGTGTAAGCAAACACTGAATGAACATCGGCCAGCGCCGGTTACAGAAATAGAAGATGTCACCATTCTATGGGATTATACCATCCAACAGACAGAAAAATTGAAGCAAATAGGCCGGACATTATTGTCAAAAACCAGAAAGAAAAAACTTGCCTACTAATTGATATGGCTTGTCCAGCGGATTGTAACATAGCAACCAAGGAATTTGAAAAACTATCAAAATACAAAGACCTGGAAATTGAAATAGAAAAAATGTGGAAATTGAAAACAAGAATAATACCAGTGGTAATAGGTGCACTTGGAATTATAAAAAAATGGAACAAAACAACACATTGAAAGAATCCCTGAAACCCCAGCTTAATATACATAAAGAAAATTTTCTTTTTAATTACAGCACACACACTAAGGAGAACTTTGTCTATGTAACGCTAGCAACTTCATCGGATATAAAAAAAAAAAAAAAAAAAAAAAAAAAAATTAACATGAAATGTGGCCATAACAACACACCACGACCTGCCTTAGGTCTTTCCGCAGACTTGGTAGGTAGATAGCAGAAATCGAAGGATGTGTCCATAATAATAATAATAATAATAATAATAATAATAATAAAATAAATAAAGGACTCTACCAGAACATTTATAATATAGAATATAAAAATATATATAATATTTTATGTTCTAGTATCTTGTCCGTATATATTGAAACTTAATTGAAACAGCAGTATAACATACTAAAAGATGGCAATCATAAAACAAGTAAATTTTAAATTTGGTGAATGAATGATGCACAGTTGGACGATCGTTTATTTTTTCGATTCTTTGCCAGAGGAATTCCCGCAGTAAATTTGTCACTTTCTCCGGTAGCCTGGTTAAATATAACCAAAAAATAGGACACTGTCCATTCTTCTATTTAACCTATACCTGTTGGAGAGAGCAGATTCTGTAACGAACTCGATCTCGATGTTATCCATGACTTCACCCGCAAAGCTGAACTTACAGTACATGGTATTCCAAAAAAAATGAACCCAAATTCTAATTACTGACCAAAAACCTAATCGGACGAGAACCTGTATTTTCGACGTCATAAATTTTCCATAAAACATATATACAATACATACATAATCAACCTTAATATATATATATATATATATATATATATATAATCAAAAATATATATATATATATATATATATATAAAGAATCTATATATACATCACTTTGAAAAAAAATGCGAACTTTTTAACTTTATGATAAATTTGCTAGTTTCGAAAATCTCCAATGTTGCAACCTTTCGTACATATCAGATTTTTTTTTTTTATTTATAAAAACGTATATATATTTCATCTCGTCATGGTAAGAAAAAAAATTATTACGCGTCAAATTGATGATAAATGTAGATTTTCTTTTCTAGAAGGCAAACTATAATATCATGCCTGGGTACCCAAGATTAAGCCGCTAAGATTATACCCGGAGAGATACCATAACTCGGTAAAGTTATTATTAAATAGAAGAGAGCCAAGTAAATGATAATATATCATATTGGAGGCAGCGCTAGAAAATAAGAAGATGGAAAGATCGATAGGATTTCATGATTTACGCAGATTGCACATTGTTCGACTGTATAGATCTTTACTGATTGGCTGTACGCAACACCAGTCAGGAAATGTATAATTTGTCAGGGTATATAAGATTGCATTAACTATTTGATATTACGGGAGAAAATTCCGAAAATATAAATAAAAAAACATGGATTTTTGTAGTAGGTTATACACCTAACGCCAGATAGATAGATAGATAGATAGATAGATAGATAGATAGATAGATAGATAGATAGATAGATGTTAGAGATTCAGATAGATATGTTATTGAGACATACTTGTTTCTACAAACAGTGTTATTGACGCCTACTGGCCTGGGTGTTCGAGTATCTTAATACAGAAAACTTGCATTTGAAAAGGGTTCAACTAGGCGTCAGTTACACTTTTAAAAATAAGTGTCTACTCAAACACCTGTATCGACTAAGTATAACATATAAAGCAATAAGAAGTAATATCAAATTAAAAATAAAATCCATTAATTCCTTAATTTATATATATATATATATATATATATATATATATATATATGTGTGTGTGTGTGTATATATATACACATATATAATATATCTATCTATCGAGATATATATATATGTGTATATATATATATATATGTGTGTGTGTGTGTGTGTGCAATTTTTTATATATATATTATTTATATATACGTGGTACTTATTGGAAAGTGGTCAATATCAGTGATAGAGCTAACATATTTAGTTGGACTGATAGGAGTTTGTGACCCTGGGATTCACGCCCTTGCGATTGTCAGACAAACTGTCAATCCAACAATATATATATATATATATATATATATATATATATATATATATATATATATATATATATATAAAAAAAATAAAGGTTATAGTTGTTCCAACGAGAAAAACTGTATATTCTAAAGAGAAGAGAGAAGCTTCAAATGTTTTTGGTCATAATGTGAATTTTTAAATATAATATATTTATAATAATATTTAATAAAAGTAATATATATATATATATATATATATATATATATATATATATATATATATATATATATATATATTGTTATTTCTGATATTCTACGACAGGTTGTAGCCAAGGATAACAGTGAATCTGTGTCGCATTTGTTTATTGTTGACAAAGCAAATGGAAATCAAGGAAGTTATTTTACAGCCCCTGAAAGAGTCAAGCAACAAAATGGTCATGCTCGAAGTCTTCTAGTTTTCACCGTTTTCTTCGAAGGAATTCCATTGGTCATTCATTTATATTGAGACATGATGAATGGGCCTGGCATGTTAAAGCCAGAGTCGCCATTTTTAAGATGCTGCTGATTGTCATATGTTGTCGGCGAAAGAGGACAAATCTATTCAATTTTTCTCCAATAATTTCGGCTACTAAAACGTGAATACGTAAATATTTACGCCCCGAAGCTAGAACAGTACCAAGTAGGAAAAAGGTACAAAGATTAGGAGGTGGCTAATGGGAAAGTAAAAAATGATAAGAACGTAAAGATAGAAAAGGTTCAGTTAGTTATGTGCCATGCGTGATACACGGTGAGGCGATCTTGTATCTTTTGATACATGACTGACGAGGCAGATTTTTTTTTTTCGTAGTAGGTTGACATTTCTTTCTGCGGTAGACCAGTTGCCATCCAAGGGTACAGAACCCTCTCTATCCTGTTATTTACCCATAGCTAGTGAGAGGAGAAGAGGATTCATACCTTTCCCAAGTGTATTAGAACGTAAATGAATTTAATGGATTCCACTCGAATTCGAACTCGGCTCTCCGATTCTTCAATCCGAGCCGCTATCCATTACCCCACCGAAAGAATTAAAAGCAAGGAAATCATTTTTTATTTCTTCCTTTTTATCTTATTTTTGCGGGGTGAAGGTGTGGATGCCAAGGAAAGAATATATAAATGATTCGAACACGCAGAGACGAGAAATGGATCAGACACCTATCTTTTATCTTTATATATATATATATATATATATATATATATATATATATATATATATATATATATATATATATATGAGATAATATATCAAGAATAATATTGAGGGAAAGTATATGATAAAATGGAAAAAAGTTTTCTTGTGGTGCGTTTCGTCCTTTAGGGACTCATCGGACTAAAACAATTCACTACGACGATAATGTCTAGATGGTGTCTTAATCTCAGGATCATCCACAGTAAATTTGCGCCTGGGCTCTTACTGTATTTCACCATTCCTGGCAGCTCTTCTATTACAACAGCGTGGTTTACTTTCTAACAAAAGTGATGGAAAAAAAAGAAAAAAGACTCTATATGAATTTGGCGAGATAAAAAAAAATTCTAAAATCCCCAGCATCTATCGTTCGTGCGCATGCGTAGTGGTACCAATATAACGAATTTACTCTGATAAAGTCCTGAAGAACGAAACGCGTCACAATAAACCTTTTCCATTTAGTCATACACTTTACCCATATATATATATATATATATATATATATATATATATATATATATATATATATATTTACAGTTTTAAAAAGTTTGAGGCGACCCTGGTAATTTTTTAAATTGACCCTAAAAAGTAGTTCTTTTGTACATTAAATAAGAGAAAATTATTATACACAGTTAAAAAAAATGAAAAATATTTTAGATATATTTATTTATTTAGACATAATTTTTTAGAAATTTTATTATGACAAAAAAAAAACAAGCATTTTATGATTAAATTTTGTTCTCGTCAAAATATCCTCCTTTAGCCTTGATGGTATTTATCAATCCACCCACTGGGATCGAATGTGGCACAAGGCCTTTTTAATGTGGGTATCTCTGAGCCCGTAGGCCCAGCCAAAAATAAAT